TGAAAAGATTTCACACGAGAGGTCAAGGTCCATTTTTGGACGCGGTTCCGTGGGAACACATTGTACCAGGTAAATACAGAAGCGCATGCACACTGTGGGGCGATTCAGAAGTACGTGCGCACATACATAAACAGAAAACATGATGTATCCTTCAAGGTCTGCCGTGGTCGTGGATCCTAAGGATTTCCCACTTCGCGAAATCCCGTCACACCCACTTTGCTGCTAGAACAAACAATCAGCGAGCATTGTACAGTAAGCCTTCAGGTAGTCTAAGTTTAGAGGTTACTGGTGAGTATCAGGATTTTAGCTGTAATTTTAAAGTATTCTTCCCAGCAGCTCACAAGCCACACAGCACAGCCTAGTGCATAAAGGCATCAGATGTGTTGCGCCTTATTAGGGCGGTCATGGGTTCGATCCCCAGTAAGAGACGGAGAGAATACGCACCACTGGCGAGCTTCAATAGGGCGAAACACGTCTGGTGCTTTTCCAGACTAGGCTGTACTATGTAGCTTGTAAACTTCTGGGACGAATATAATAAAATTATAAAGGTTAACTTAGTAGTGACTGTTGTGGCCCAGGTGATCAACCTACAGCGGTCTCGTTCCATATGATTTATATTGGTAAACGTTCAATCCATGAAAAAGCGGCCAACTTATAGAGGTGGTCAACTTGGGAAGTTCCATTGTATGTACGAATGTGGTCGTGGGGTTCCGTTTTGCGAGCAAGCAATACAAGATGTTTGTCGATTCGATAGGTTTGTTTCTACGACCGCTATCGAAATGGCCAAAGTCAATTGGATCAGTGGATGACTGAAGGCATTTACAAACACGGAGCAAGAGGGTAATCGAACTACAAACCAAAATGTTATGTCAAGTGTTACCTTCAGAATGGAGCGATAGCAACTTTTTCATCCAAGTCCTTGTCAGTGATTAAAGCGCCGATTTGATATGTTCCTATTTGCCCCAAATCTCTTGTTCGATTTTTCTCAGAATCGCCCACCGTCCATTCAACATTTCCATCATGTCCATAATCTTCGTGGCTTTTGGCTTTGGCGCTTTCCCTAGTCTGATCACTAAGCCTTTCGGACGTTATTACAACCTCACATAGTGCTCTCGACATTATTCAAGTCCGTTTCAAGCCCTGCGTCCAGCGCGTGCACCGATACCCAAGGTTCTCTTAGCACATACTGTACTCAGGCACGTTCCTCGGTGGCTGTGATATGCGAATCTCCTGCTATGCTATCCTCCTGGTTTGGCCTTGTGTTAATTACTGTTTGTTTTGTAATTAAAACCGTCTTATTACTTGGAAACTTATACTCCAATTACTATGGATTTAAATGGGGATTATGGAATGTGACGTCTTACGGTAGCTTACCAATATTTTACATTCGACACTGGTATTCTGCCATCTGTCGAAATTCGTCTATCGCATGGATGAATGGCAGGAAGGTAAGAAATTTTGACTCGTTGCACACTCTGTAGGCTAAACTGAGATCTCCTCATGCAAATAAGATTTTATGATTTCTTTCTCAATGGATAAAAAGAATAACAATGGTTATTTTACTTTGACCATCTAAACTAACAGTTGACTAAGCATGGAACCGTGGCACCCTGTATCTAGCAACGGTCTTTGATGAGATATTCTTTCCTCCTAAGCGACTTCACCTTAGAAAATCCCGGTAAGAAGATGAAAGTTGGTGGATGTACGCATGTTGCATTGCCTCGTCCGTTTACCACAGCCGGTATACAACTATCTGACCAACTGTGATGTGACCAAATAGGTCCTACTTATAAGTCCAATGACGGAATTTAGTTTTATATGTCTATGAGGGCCTGGGGCTGCTAAAGATTTGTTCTGAATACACAGAGCTGGCTTTATTCGGCTTATAGCGCATGCTTCGGCGAAACGAAAGAAGCGGAGAATTTTATGATATAATAGACGTGACGAACGTTCATCCTAGCAGTTCTATAGATAGACATATTGGACTGTGGAGGCCGAAAGGCTTGGTGCTCAATGTAGCCAAGAACGTCATAGCGGTTTGCCTCTTAGGTGATTTCATTATACTAAAGTAAATAAACTTTCAAGCTCTACTATGCAGACAATTTACTATGTTGTTCAAGTTGTTGTCATTATTCGAACTTGGAATGTGCGGTCATCTCCAAAAAAGCAAGCACAGCCAACCAGGGTCAATTATCAGTACAGAGCTGGTGGGACTATAACTTCTCGAATAAACGAACATGTGTCGGAATAGGTTCAGCGTGAAATGGAAGAGCACAACCTGTCCCCTCTACCTCCCTTCTTAAGCAGCCTATCAGCTTCCTCACAGCTGCTGACAACACTTTCAAAGTCGCGTTGCTTCACCCTAATCCACGCTTCCTTAGTTAGCCTGAAGCCGTCGTCATAAGCTGGATGAAGTGAGCTCCATGCACTTAGGATCTAGGATTTATTAGGCTACCGCCTACATGAGGGCTGAAATACCGTCATTCAAGGTAAACCCCAAACCTGCTTGATCGCATCCAAAATCAGCTATATATCTGCATATCGGTCACTGTTAATGTTACAGGAAATAATACGAAATGAGTGCATTTATCAGCAAATTAACAACTTAAATTATTCATAATATCTGCTACAGAGCTGGCACTGTCCTGTCAAAATCACCCGTAGTTCACCGGCGCCAGTACACTATCGGGTCAGATAAACACGGTCGCTATGCAGAGACCTAAATTACGCAGTTCAGAGCTGAGCTTTCCCCAAAAGAACTGCCGCCAAGCGTCCACTCATCGGCGCAGATCACAACTGGATTGTCCTCAGTGAAAACGCGACTGACATATCCCGCACCGTTCCTATTGAACTCGCCCCAGGGTCACCGCTGTATCTACTGGGCTCTCCTCAAATCAACAATCTGTTTCCTGAGCTGTGTTCATGCCAATGCCCCAGCTACCGAGCACGCTAAACAACTGTGGTGTGTCTAACGTCTCAACTGCATCGACCCTACCCAATCTTTGCCCGGAGATAGGGCCATTAACTGGCAGCTCATGTGTCAAAAAACGTACGCCTCTCCCTATAGTTTATATATTTACGACCGTTTTAGTGAACTATAAATATAAATGTGTAGGAAGAACGGTGGCTTTGGTTGAGTCAGTAAAAGCATTTACTACTGACCAGTCCTCTTTCTCCTGGTCTCGGTGTACTTGTGCGGCATTCACGCGTTCCGTCTACCTTCTCAGTTACGGGGTTACGTCTGCCGGTTAAGTCCACTAGGCGTTCCCATACGAATCGTCTAGGCTACTCTGCGCCTGGGAACCAGCGAGTGAATGAGTTTGTCCGTTCCGACTAGAACAGTGGAAACCAAACCTGGACGTTTATAGCACTAAACTGCTAAAACTGATCTAACACTGTTTCGGAAAACCAGTAACTCATAACACGGTCTGTTGCGGATAAATAGCGTGCTTTGATTGTGAATAGCCACTTGGTCCGAATTCAAAAGCGTGGTCAGAGCAAATAGGATGACCAAGATGTACTCCCACGCAACTCGTGGTTTGAGTTTTTGTTTATGAGATCGCTCAATCATACGGTGGATGATGATGTCAGATGTTCCATAGAGTTTTCAATCTCTACGAGGATCCGCGCAGCTAACTAGCCTACTTGTCCTAACTTCAACAGGGACACTTGCTATGGCTAGTGGGCAATGAAGCTCGTTATACATACTGCTAATATGAATGAGCCAAAAGTATGAGGTCTTCCATATACCCTTCCCAAGCACAGGCACAATATGGCATTTTGTCTGACATCAGAGTAACTTCATCTCAACTGCCATAAGGAATTGGAAGCTGGACCACTACACTTGAGTAATGGTGCCTTTTAAGCACTCAAAGCAACACAGTTACTCCCTTAAATAAAGACGTGATAGACTGAGGCTATCAACGTCTGGGTTCCAAAAAGACAAAAGACAAAGGAATACTTGAACTTCCAACGAGTCCAACCTTTTGGGATCAGTGATCTCGGCGTCATGAAGTGTACCTCTATCATGGCCCTTGGGATTGAAGATGAGACCATGAACCGCAAATCAAAAGCCCGAAGTGCTTTGCAAGTCTTCGTCACTTATGGCGCCGGCGGGACATCACTCTCCTCCTGAAGGCTAGAGTGTACAACGCAGCAGTACCTTCGACCCTACTGTACGGTTGTGAAACCTGGCCCCTTAGATCATCGGACATAAAGAGGCTAGTTACGTTCGATCACCGGTGCCTTCGCTATTTAACACACATCTGGTGGGAACACGGAGTAAGCAACGTGCGTGTTCGACGCCTTGTTTACGCCACAGCAAAAAGAATTGAACCGCTCAGCACCGTTATTTCACGCACCAGGCTCCGATGGCTCGGCCACGTGTTACGCATGCCAGCCCACCGACTTTCACGACGTGCGTTGTTTGCGCTCCGGGGCTGTGAATGGAAGGAGGGGTGGCCAAGCGATGACTTGGTCGAGAGGAATGAAGGCCCTCACTTCAAAGCTGACCGCAGTCGGAGCGTATCGGTTCCCTGGTTGGGGTCCAAAAGACGATGAACACGTTTGGCTGGATACACTTGCTGACATGGCTAGGAGCCGGCCTCAGTAGCGTTCCTGCGGTGAGTTTCTTTGTCCCACCCCATCCTTCTTAGCCTCCCCCTACAACCACAAGCGCAATTCGCAGCGTAATATAATTTTACATAATAATTTTTTTGTTGCCCAGTAGCCGGCTGGTAGCTTACCGGAAAGATGTCCATCCGTTGCTGGTAGCTCAGCTGGCATGCAGGTGTTGTATTTATTTTCCTTTTCTTTTATATATGGCGGCACATTAGCCGCCTCTAGCTAACGTGTATAATGATGATGATGATGAAGTGTATCTCGATCGAACCGGATGGCTGCAGGTTATAACCTACGAAACCTTATAGCCGTGATCTTGAGGTATACATTCTCACATTTAATATGACCATAAACCCTAGAATGATTGATTACATTATTACTCACTCGTAGGTTGTTTTCCATGAAAATCTTGACGTCCGGTCCTTCTTGGTAGCGATAGCGCTCTCCTTATCCCCGGATAATACGGGCCCCTGCTCTGTCAAATCCTGTTGCTCAACTAAAATGTCCAACTTAGACATCTCCGAATGTAGTGAAGGGTGACGGAGACATCTTCGAAAATGCTGTGTGGTGGGATACGAGATAGAATAATGGTATGCATGAACTCCATAGTACACTCGACGTATGCACACCATCAAACAGAACATTTTTCATCTAAAACGAATACGACACGTGCCAGCGAAGTGAGGTCGGCAGGTCCCGCCTATGGATTTCAACGTTGCATCCCACCTTTTTAGGTTTCAAAGGCTCATATACCTTATTGATGGACTGAACAGTTCCGGAGAGAAAGCAGCAAATGTGTGTACTCCTGCCGTGACATTGACCGGTACTAGGCATAGCAAAACTGTGGACTCATGGAGAAGTGGGGAGAATCAGAACCCAAAACTATCGAACTAGTTGGAATGTGTCTGGCAACATAAGCTACTTACCGGATAGCGAATGGGAAGGAGGGTCTTTGCGGTGGTACTAATTACTTCAACTTCCGATTATGACCTCAGTAAAGCAAGACGGGATTTGGCGCAGTGTCATCAAAGCTACGCTATTCTGTCGCATACAGAAGCCTAATGAACATCAGTATATATATTAACAGTGAACAAATGAGACATATAAGAGCAGCTAGCTGAAATAAAGGAATCACAATAAGGATATCAATTTGATCGATTGTAACTCGGTACTGCCAGGCTAACTAACCATCCACAGCCCTGTACTAGACTCTGTTCATGAAGTTATGATTTCTAATGTCATAGGAACATGCACGATGGAGATCTACATTCCGTACGATTCATGCCTCGGACAGTAAAATACCAGTGATGGACATCAGTATGGCAGGTAGATATTAGGCGTTATTGCTAAATATAACTATAGCATCATGATGCTGAAAGTTACCTTCAGGAGGTTTTTCTTCCTTTGGCGGATGCGCTGAGTCCGCTGCTCTGCCGAAACTACACCGCCGACGTCGCTCATCGAAGGCGAAGTTGAATATTTCTTTCACAAAGGTTTTCCGAGCCTAAACATCCGTGAATATTAACTTTAATTGTATGAAATAACAGCAGGAATTTCACGATTACAAAACGATCTGGCCGCACCTAACGTGGCATGATATAAGCTATTACTCGCCCAATCGGGGTATACCGCTCTGCCCTTTGGTCACCATGGTTACGGTGATACACATGCGCTCGTCAAGTTTCGAATCGAATCACTCGGTGTCGCTGGAAGAGACGGGTGAACTGAATTGAACTGTGGGAATTCTATCGTCACCGTTGTGATAAATGATTGGAATCGATTAAAAAAGCATGTGGTCGTGAATTCAGGTCTGTAGGGAAAAATGCACGATTGGAAGATGAACTTCCCATTGTCCTCAAACATTTCGGAGTGCCGACTCCGCCCTTTTGTCGCAATGTCACCGATAACAATCTTGCAGCTTGCGTTCAGATACACTTACCTGGCAAATTAAGACCTCCCAATGTGTGTTGGAATTTCAAAATACATCAGTGCAAGCAGAACACAACCGCAGAAAGGTTAAACATTTATTGACAGATATAATGAGTTGGAGTGTGGATTCCAAAGTCTTTGTAGCTAAAGTACCAGGAAATGCAAGGGAGAATTGTGACGATGTTTACGCCAATCGGTGATATTCAGCTTTAAATTCGGCCCAACAACTGTATTTGCTTTTGGAAACTTATACAATATCGATTTCTATCATTTGTTTTTATCTAACACGTATGCACCATCACCGCAATAAGTAGAAAACGGACAGAAACGGTTACTTGAAATATGTATGCGGCCTTCAGGATTAACGCGAGTATATGGAACAGAAATTAGCAACAAGAAGGTGGCTAAGCTCCAGCACGCTCCACACTTAGTGTTTCGGATAATTTTTACAGCATAATAAAAGAACATTTCTCTTGGAATAACTACTCCAGATGCGCATGGGTTGGCGCGTTATTACAGTTGAGAAAACAGCTATCGATAAAAGTGGAGCATTTGGTATCCAGCATTCGACGCAACCACCAGGCGCACGTTTCCTTGGTGTAACCTTCATAATGATATACTATATCAGATTAGCAGTAGTCATTGCTCCAATAAGCCGCCGGTTCTGCCCTCGAGTGTTGCTCCCTTTACACTACGTACGATACAGACATGGCTATCATACGGTCTCAGTGTAGTGGCTGCGGCGTTACTTAACGCCATAGTGTGTAACACATAAATTCACTTTACGGCAGGTGCTAGAGCAGCGCCACGCATACCGCAGATCGACAATAGCTGTGTTTCTCGATTTCAAGAGTGCGTTCGATTCAGTCGATCGATCGATTCTGTTCGAAGTACTTGCGCGGAAAGGTGTTCCCACGAAATATGTAAACTTCCTTCGTGCTCTATACTACAGGCCGCGTCAGGGTCTACGGTGGCCTATCGGATAGCTTTCCGACCACAAGTGGCGTTCGTCAGGGTTGTCCGATTTTCCCATTTTGGTTCAATTTCGTCGTGGATTCTATCATAGAGTATTCCCTTGCGGAATCTCACGATGTAGGCGTTGAAGTACTGCCTGATCAAAGGTTAGTTGATTTAGATTATGCGGACGATATCGTCTTGCTTTTCGACAATGTTGAGGCGGCACAATCAACCCTGAATAGCCTGTCTAGAGTGGTCCCATTATTTCGCATGCACTTCGCACCTTCAGAGTGCAAAGTATTGCTGCAGGACCACCAGCCACTTGATGACCCCTTGACGCTTGCTATTGAGGCACTTGAGGTGGTTGATCATTTCACTTAGCTAGTTAGCTGCATCAACAATTATGGGCGCATAGAAACTGACGTCAGCTCATGCATTGCAAAAGCCAGAGCTACCTTCTTGAACCTGCGGCATCTTTGGTGACAGAATGGAGTTCCCCTCCGTCTGAAAGGCCGTGTATACAAGGCCACAGTGAGGGCCGTTCTGCTGTATGGTAGTGAGACTTGGCCCCTTCGCTCTGAAGATCTGAGGCGCCTTCAAGTCTTTGATCGTTGTTGTCTGCGAAGCATTGCTGGTGTTAGATAGCAAAAGCGTGTCCACAACGATGATGTGCGTACGCAAGTACTAGGTGGTGATAATCATGCTAGCTCCCTAGAACAACAGATAGCACTGAATAAGTTGCGTTGGCTTGGGCACGTGCTACGCATGCCTGGTCACCGATTACCAAGGAGGGTCTTGTTTAGTCTGCCAGGTGTTGGGTGGCGCAAGGCTCGAGGTGGACAGAAGTTGACTTGGCAGCGGGAAATGAAGTCACTGACGACCAAACTCGGTGCCGTTGGTCCGTCTCGCCTTCTGGGCTGGAGTCCACGTGACTAGCCTTGTGCTTGGCTCGAGACTTTACAGGACATGGCTCACAACCGACACCAGTGGCGCGTCTGCTGCCGTCTCCTAATCGGATTGTCTGTTTAAAGTGTGTTTGGTGCTGAGTTATCTGCGGGGTAATAGCTGATTATGACGCGTGGCAGTGAAAGACGCAAGGAAGCTGTCTCACCGATGCCGCCTTATCTTTGCACAATAGCCAGCTGTTTGTGACGGTATGTTGTCTACACAAGGTGTAGGCGCCTTGCGACTGAATGTTTGCTTAGGGCATTAAAGTTTTCAGGTAAGTCCCCCTTCTCTCCCTTTTATTATTATTTATTTCATAAGTCATCGTGGTTGTATGGCTGCGAAGCATCAGTTCAAATGGCTGATGTACTGCTGTTGATGATGATGTTGATGAGTGTGTAACACATGCGCTCTGGGCACCGTGTCCAAATCGTGATGGTGTGGATCCGTTCACACGTGACTTGAGCTGTATATTGCATAAGTACACTGCCGTACATATAGCATGCGAACAAGTTAATGTAACAGTTGTTGAAATGCACCAACGGATAATCAGTCCCAAAAACTCTTGGTCGTCTCAATTGTTCCAGGCAGACAACCTTCGGGGGGATCCATGAGGTTGAAGTCTTTGAAGAAGTCCAGGTAAATGACGTCGATCACACTACCTTAGCCGACCGCTTCTGTCCAACTACTGTGTGTTAGCAGTAAGTTCGTTGTGCATGAAGGATGTTGATGGAAACTGTGTTGCTCAGTTGCTATGATGTTGTGGTGTTCTGGATGGTCGACTAAAGCTTCAGTGAGGATTGCCTCCATCACCTTTGAGGGAACAGTGAGGACGACCACTGGGCGATATTTTGCGGGTTCCGAGCGACGGCCACTTTGAAAAATGGCGCAGTTAGATCATGTTTACATATGGTAAGTACACTTTTTTATCTAAGCACTATGTAAGAGCTTGAATAATGGCTGAGCAGCGTAATTGTTGCTATTTCCAGCGCCCTCGGGTGAATGTTATCGATACCTGGAGAACGGTAATCGCGCAATAAGAGCAGTTTCTTCAACGCAGATTTAGCAGTGAAGTCGATGTTGGTAAATATTAAACTTAGGATCTTAGGTGTAAGTATATAACAGTGGCGGATGTCACGTTGAAGGGTTGGGGTCTACTGAATCCGTAGAGTGTTGGCTGCTTCTGCAACTTGCTGTACGACTCTGACTCACAATAAATGAGGGATACCGTGCCTCACTTTCCGGGTGATGTTATCATGTTTATATAGATGCTTTTTGTTGTTGGTAAATTTACAAAGCAAAGGTTGTTGCTTAGCCACTTTTTCCGCACGAACGAGCGTATTATAATGGTTGCACTGGGTCACGTAGGGGCTCCAGGTGTCGGGACCAGGACGGGCTCTGTAAGCGTACCAAGCTGTATCCCTTAGTGACATGCATTTTCGTTCTCTACTTCTGAGGAACAACAATATATTGGTGGAACGAACCTATTTATTTTCTGAAGTAGTTGCCATAAGATTGCCGAGGCGTCCAACAAACTGAATATAAGTGCTACCAGGGGAGCCAACTTTCAAGAATTCCCAATCGGTCGCCGTAGATGGATCGTTCAGGATGTTGTAGCGCGTGATGGTACATCTTAGTTCAGTGTGTTCCTCCGGATATTCAGTGTAACTGGCATAGACAGAAAGTTTAATGGCATGATCACTTAGCCCTAGTAGATTGTTTACTAATGGCCTGTCGAGCATGAGTTCTTCATTTCTAAGTAGGTGTCCAGTACTGATGGCTTATTACCAGCTCTGTACCTGGTAGGTGAGTTGATATGACTGTGTAGTGGAATACCTGCTATAAGGTCTTGCAGTTTGGTCTTGTATGTTTTGCTGGTGGATACCGAGGCGTCCAGGTCGTGCATGGTGAAAGCGCCGGAGATAAGAACGTGGCTGTAAGTTGATAGTACGCTTTTTTCAGTGCCGATATTAAGCGGGAATTTATCTCCGGAATGGACAATGGAGACGATAAACGGCTGTCAGGAAGCAATTATTATTGTATCTGAGATGCAAACGGCACCATGGCAAATTGGCAGTCCGCGTCTCCGAATCATCCAATGGCTCTCTTTTTAAATCGTTGCGATAGTATATGGTTACACCACCTGACTGCTGGAACAATCGTTTCGCAACAGTGACATTTGCCTTATCGCGATCTCGATATCCGTAAACTCTGGGCATCACCAAGTGTTGCTTATGTAATTTAATCACCAGATTTATTTACCTGACGTGGCTAAAGCTCGGCAATTTCGCTGAGAAGGCTTTGGGTAGCGGTATACATGTAGGGAAGTGTTTCGGTTCTCACCAGCGAGGTAAAAGGCATGTGGTTCGGATGGAAGATTTTGCCGACCGTTGTATCAATAAATAGTCCGATGTCAAACGTAGGTTGCTCGTGGAGGACGCTTGCTGAGAATAACTACAAAACCAGGCGCCAAAAAGCGTGTCTCCGTGACTGTGCTTGAAGTAAGCTACTAAAAAACAAAAGTTGATCGCGTAGCCGAACAGCGCATTACAGTGCAAACAAGCATTTCCATATCACCGGTTGATATCATAAAATCTTGTTCATCAAGAATTAGAAAAACATCATAGCCG